TATCAGTTAATTCCGAATCATAAGTATACAGGGTGTATAACTCGACGGGAAAAAAGAGACTGAGACATTGTCTTACTTCCCATTATCAATAAGCCGCCCTCCCGCCTCCTTCATCGTCTCCACCACTTGAACATCGCAGGATCATGTTCTCGTAAGCGAAACTTGCGATTCATGTTTACCAGTCATTGCTCACTCAGCTCAGTCCTGTAAATGTAAAGTTGTTATCTAATCTGATTTTGCGGCGGCCCATTACTTCCCTTGCATGTCAAGTCATAGTATATTCATGGATTTCAGCCAACATATATATGATGCTGCACGGAAGACTACGAAGCATTAAGTCTGCCCACTTCTTTACATTAGTTGGTTTCTGTAATCTTGGTAACCTAAGTACTAAACTCTATCTCTATAGTATCGTCTCCCACCGCACATACTACTATTGGTAGAAGACGGTTCCGCCGGGTCTAATGGAGTCTAAGATGGATCATGTTATTGTTTGCATAGCGAAGAGCTTACTTGTAGCCTCACGACTGGAATAGTTACCTGTAAGAGGTATCTCGTTTGGTCTTCTCTATTTGTCTTCGCCTCTGCCATATATTCTGCAGATATTCACAGCGTTGCTTCAACCTCATCCACAATGGTCACCTTAATACTCCCGTTTCTGGTATCCGCACACAGATTCAAGGCATCCACGGCCTTCTCTAGAGGAAAAACGTGCGATACCAATTTCTTCAAGCCCAGTATGCCCCCACTGAGACACGCTATTGCAGGCGGCCAGGTATCACGGTACCGGTTGATGAACCGCAAATCGATCTGTCTTTGTTAGTGATCTTATTTTCAAGCTTAACACGAGAAAGGCTTACCTCTGCCAGGGAAATATGCATAAATGGCAGGTTATTCATTACTGCCTTTCCCACGCCAATGACGACCACCGTACCACCCCGACGAGCGGTAAATGTTGCGGTACACACACTGTTCTCAACACCAGTACACTCTAATATAGTTTCTGGGGCGTGGTACTCGTCCGGACCAAAAATTGCTCGGATTGCCTTGGCGTTGCCTTCCGCATCTAGTGCTGGATTAACCTGGTATGTATTACACCAAGGCGCAAATTCCTTGGCAAAGGCGAGTCGCTTTGGCTCAATATCTGTGATGACAATGGGGTGGGCCCCTGATGCCCGAGCAGCTGCGAGGGCGATCAGTCCAATAGGCCCAGCACCGCATACGACTACACCACGACCTAAATGAAGACGCGCGACCTGGATTCCGCGCATGACGACCGAAAGTGGCTCTAGGAGGGCTCCTTCAAGATAGGATATATTGTCCGGAAGCCTGTAAAGACAATTTAGCATACCTAGTCAATCCAATGGGAACCGAAACGCACTTATGTAGCCATTTGGCTGGGTGGACCTTGTAACGTTGGATGGTACCCGCATAAGGATATACTCCCGCAAATTGGACGTCCTCGCAAAGGTTATAGCGACCGTCATCACAGAGGAAGCACTGTTCGCAAGGTACCCCAGGTTCGACGGCGACTCTGTCACCTGTGCCTCCCGATAAGTTATCCATTGCAGACATGATGCACAGCGTGACTAACCAGGCTGGAGATAGGTCACTCCATCTCCACACTTTAGCACCACCCCCGCTGCTTCATGACCAATTATGCAATCTCCTTCGAAGACTAGCTCTCCAATGCGACCGGTTTTCCAGAAATGAATATCGGACCTGAGCACGTTAGCGAATAGTGTGCACATGTAAATATAGCCAATATTCTTGCATACCCACAGACGCCAGTGGCTTTGATTTGCAGTAGGACCTCACCTCGCCGTGGCGCATACACCGGGGCGGGGACAAACTTGAGATTGTGATCTGCTGTGATCTGGAGAGAGGGATTGGAGAATGGAGGGGACAATGGCACCTGCTCCGTTGGCGATGACTTTGAGGTAGACGATGGAGCCGGGCTCGACAGAAGGACAGAAGGGGCCATGATGTTGGGTGGTGTGTGATCTGAACGTTGGAGTTAGAGAAGACGCCTGGGGTGCGTCTGGTTTAAGCTGAAAACATCTTGGGCGTCCCCAGGTTAGCTGGGAGTGACACAATTGCTGAATTCGAGCAATAGGATGCAGCGGAGATAAGCTACCTTTGCCTGGGCATCATGGAGATGGCAACTGGAGGCACGGATGACCCAGCGTGGATCCAGTCCAGGCCATATCTTCCCCGCATGGAATTTCTGGGGTCGGGTCCAGTACTTACCCTTTTGGGTATTCCACAGCCGCGTTCCCCGATCTGGTGGTCGGCGCCTCCAATTACCCGATTGGGAAATGGGCTTAATGCTGCCGGATGAGGTTATTCGGATCCAATTCTTCATGCTCAGTCCACCTTCACTCTGCAGACCTGGGCTTGTTCTGTTCCCACCTTTTCTCTGCTCTGGGCACCGTGTCTATTATAAATTTGACCCATGTCCCCTCTTGCCCCGCGCCATATATCGCCCTCAGAATCATTCCTGCAACTATGGCTGTTGGTCCTATCCCGCAAAGTAACGGCGCATCGGCCTTGCCGCTGGTGCGCCAGCTGTCTAAAGATCATGACCATATCTTGAAATCATTCCGTCTTCTGATTTCCGACCTGTGTCAGCAGTTCGGCGGAGGCCACCCGGGGTATGAGTCCACCGATAATGAGCCCAGCAGAACAAAGGGTGTTGACTGACTTGACCAGGGGAGCTATTGGCATGGCGGCCATAGGAGTCGCCCTCTGGCGATATGTTATGCGATATGCGCCACACACCCCGGACTACTTCAACCGCGATCGCTTCATCCTTTCTAATGGCCATACCTGCCTCTTTCAATACGCCTTTTTACATCTCACTGGCTACAAAGCCATGACTTTCGAGCAGCTCAAGTCCTATCACTCCGACCGAGTCGACGCATTGTGCCCGGGCCACCCGGAAATCGAACACGAGGGTATCGAAGTCACCACAGGCCCCTTAGGTCAGGGCATCGCCAATGCTGTTGGTCTTGCCATGGCCACGAAGAATCTGGCGGCCAACTTCAACCGTCCAGGGTACGATGTCGTATCAAACCACACTTGGTGTATGATAGGAGATGCATGTCTCCAAGAAGGAGTCGGACTCGAGGCAATCTCCTTTGCGGGCCATCTTAAACTCAACAACCTGACCGTCATCTACGACAACAACCAGATAACCTGCGATGGTTCAGTCGATCTGACCAACACAGAGGATATCAACGCTAAGATGCGTGCCTGTGGCTGGAACATCATTGATGTGGAAGACGGTTGCCATGATGTCGAGGGAATTGTCCAAGCCTTGGAGGAGGCTCGTGCCTCCCAAGAGAAGCCTACTTTCATTAACGTCCGGACCGTCATTGGTCTAGGCAGTAAGGTTGAAGGCATGGCTGCTGCTCATGGTGCCGCATTTGGTGCTCCAGACGTAGCAGAGATGAAGAAGAAGTATGGCTTTAACCCTGACGAGCACTTCGTCATCAGTGACACAGTCCGAGAGTTCTTCCAGGAGCTCCCTGCTCGAGGCGAAGCTCTTGTTCAGCAGTGGAACTCGTTAGTGAAGCAATATAGCGCAGAACATCCTGAGCTTGGGGAGGAGTTCCAGAGACGCATTCACGGAGAGCTGCCTTCGAACTGGAAGGACCTTATACCTTCCAGCTTCCCTGACAAGCCAACAGCTACGAGAGCCTCATCCGGCCTAGTATTCAACCCTCTGGCTAAAGATATCAAATCTTTCATGGTCGGAACGGCTGACCTGAGCCCGTCCGTGAACATGATCTGGCCGGGCAAAGTTGATTTCCAGCACGTAAGTTCATTCTTGCTGTTTCTCTTAGACCATTTCGTGGCACCATACTTACTAGATACAGCCTGATCTACGTACCACTTGCAATATCAACGGTAACTATTCCGGCCGATATATCCACTTCGGAGTGCGTGAACACGCCATGTGTGCCATCTCGAACGGGCTGGCAGCGTTCGCTCCAAACACATTCATCCCTATCACTTCTTCCTTTTTCATGTTCTATCTTTATGCCGCTCCTGCCGTGCGCATGGGAGCTCTTCAGCACCTTCAGGTTATCCACGCTGCTACTCACGACTCCATTGGCATGGGAGAAGATGGTCCGACACACCAGCCGATAGAGCTGGCAGCGCTCTACCGTGCTATGCCAAACCTGCTGTATATTCGACCGGGCGATAGTGAAGAGACAGCAGGAGCCTGGCTTGCAGCCCTGGAGGCCAAGAAGTCATCCAGCATTATCTCCACCTCCCGTCACGCTCTGCCCCAGTTGAAGCAAACACGCCGGGAGGGAGTGGCCCATGGCGCGTACGTGCTGGAAGAGGCTGATGCTGCCGCAGTGACGCTCATTGGCGTCGGCGCAGAGCTCTCATTTGCGCTTGATGTAGCCCAGCAGCTGAAGGAGACTAAAGGGATTGCGGTACGCGTCGTCAGTTTCCCATGCCAGCGACTGTTCGATCAGCAGGCCCTCGAATACAAGCGCACGGTCCTGCGACGCCATCAAGGGATCCCGGCGGTGGTAATCGAGCCATATGCACCGAATGGCTGGGAGCGGTATGCTGATGCAGGCATTAACATCCGCCGATTCGGCCACAGTTTGCCGGGCAAGGCTGCATACAAGTTCTTCGGCTACGAGACCGGAGTGATGGCGGCCAAGTTGGGCGATTATCTGGACCGACTAGAGAAGGGAGAGTGGCAGCGAGGAGAATATGTGGATCTGTAGGCTAGTGATCCTTTCGATATCATTACCATTCAATGAATAAACTTAGACCCAAGACAACTTACCAAAGAATTAGTCCAACCCAGTAGCAATTGGAAGATGACCGGAGAAGAGATGTGGGGATTGACTAGAGGGAAGATCCACCCAGACGCGCCGGACTCGTATTGGGGAATCGGAAGCGCCATCCCTCGCTGCTTTAGTCTCCCCACTTCCCCTCCCTTCTTCCACAACTCAATTCCCCTCCACGTTGTTATCTAGAGACACTTCGGATCTTATCTCTAGGAGATCCAGACTATTGCTAACCCTGGACTCTTCTCACGGTGGCTTCCGCTGATGCTGCAATGAATGAATCATCACTCACCGCTCCCAAGACGCCAGATAGTTTTTTTCTTCGCGTATCACACGCACTCAAACTCGGTCCCTACGATGCTTACACACTACACCAGTTACCGGGGAACAAGAAAGTTCAAGCAAGAGTGTATTGCCAGGCCCGGACGGGATAGGACTTTCCCATCAACGAGACCTGACTTGCAAGCTAAATAGCTAAACATACTAAGACATGAAAGAACAGGACAGGACAGGTTAAGACAGAACAAGACACAAGAAGCTAGAAGTCTGCTTCACAAATAACGAAAAAGGATGAGACAATCAACACCAACAACCTGAAGATAACCAAGATGGAGATAAAGAAACGAGCAAATTTCAAGGGTATATCAACCTCTCAGGCTAAGCAACGCTATTATAGCATGAAATCATCTACGCGCTGCTCCGGGGCGATTACATAGACTCCCCATACGGGGGATAGGCACGGAGCCGAGCGGGTGCCGCTGGCATGTGCGTTATAGAACCTCTCGTTTGATTCATCAGCTGGCTCGCCGCTTTCGGGGATCGCTTCGGTATTGCCTTGCGGGAGCTCAACTGTACTCTCGCCGTTCATATCATTTGCGTGCTCGATGCTGCCCTCGCCATTCATTGCGGGCTCACCGCTGGCATCGCCGTTCATTATATGTGCGGGCTCGCCGCCGGTCTCACCGTTCATCATAGGGGCGAGATCAACGCTGCCCTGGCCGTTCATCTCATGTGCGGGCTCGGCGTGACCTTCGCCGTTCATTTCATGGGTCGGCTCAACTATGCCCTCAATGGCTTCTAGTGTGGGCATTTGGACTGGTTGAGGGGCTTCGGAGGAATATGTGCCAATGGTTGCACTCCTTCTTCCTTTCGCCATCTCGAACCGGAGAGTGCGTTGCTGCAGCTTGAATACCGATTCTTGACCATTTCTCATTTGAAAGACTTGATTCGCAACCTCCGGTGTCTACACTTCATTAGCTATTGCTATTGAGGTTTAAAGCATGACGCGTACCTCGAATTGCGCAAAGGCGGTTCTCAAACCAGAACTAGGGTTCGTCTTCACTTTGACATAACAACGTCCGTATTCGCCGAGCATCCTCTTGAGCTCCAACTCCATCTGAGGTGGATCAAGAGCACTTGGTAGACTGCAGGGCGTTAGTTTTTGTCCCATCCACTACTGAGTTTGGAAGGGGGTTTAGCTCTTACTTTCCAACAAAAAGGCGAGCTTCAAGAGGAAGGAGATCTTGAGCGTTGTCGTCTGTGACTTTTATTCCTCCGACGATAAGAATATCATCTTCAATATCAGAACCACTTGATCCCTCCTGGGCTTGAACTGAACCATCTCGGGACGGCTGCGGAGGGCTATTGGTCACGGTGGGAACCAACTGCCGGAGCATCTGGTACAAGGGGGTGTCTCGACGTACTGGGAATCCTGGATGGGTCATACGTGCAAATCGGCGGTTAGGAGGAATAGACGGGTGGTTATCGGCAGGCATAATATAAGGTTGTTCCTGGACGGCATCAGACATCTCCGAGATGAAAGGATCCCCATCAGGTATGTCGTTTTCCGTAATGATCACATCCCATTGAGGTTGCTTTGGAAACCCAGGCAAATGCCTGCTCATCTTAGGGTTACACCAAGGAGGTATATCCATATACAGCCAATTAGGCTGTTGCCCTCCAACTTGCATACGAGCCCCGGTGAAGAAAACCCATTTCCTGGTACTATCAATGAAAGAAGGGCCAAAAGGTTTCTTTCCAGGATATGGAATAGCATTGGGGTACTGTTGACAGAAATCCATGTTGACTGCTTGAGGGGAAGGATGCATTTCTCAAAGCAAAAGCCGTGAGTAACTTCTCCCCTTAGCGATCAAGCAAAGCCAAGCTAAGCAACAGACGCTAACAAGCACGAATCAGATTTTATCCTCCTAAAGGAGAACTTTATCAAAAGCGTACTAGAACGACGAGCAGTGTGAAAAGATGAGATTGATAAGAGAAGCTGTGGTTACTCTGTCAAACGATAGCGAGTAGCCAAAGCGTGAGTGTTGTGGTGATGGGAGAAGTATGAGAGGCAAAGAACAAGCGAGCCGGCAAGGCTCACATACTAACCGTCGAACTCTATGCCTTCACGATGAGGTATGAGAAACGAGCGCCGCAGCAATGACTGCAACTATGACCACCACAAGGCTTCAACTACGGTCCGGACTATGTTCCTCTTATTCCTCGAGGAATCTAGTTACTCCTCGCCGCTTTTTGGCCTGGAATAACATCTACGGGATGAAGGGCATGGGACGTCAGAACAGGGCTGTGCATTCGCCCCAGAGCCATCTGCGGTAATTTGAAGACGCCTATATTTGTCAAGAGAACTACGACTATATGTGCGAATAGGTTGGTCCGTCCTTTTGTCCGGGGTAAATCGGGGTTTTGTTGGGGAAAGTCGGGAATGGTTCCTTGGGTGCGAGGACGAACTATACAACTATACGGCTCTAGGCTTGGTATTCTGTCCGATACAATACATTCGGTGCGGAAAATTCGGCCTGTAGGTATTGAGAGAGTGTCATGACATGGTTTGTGGAGCCATGGCCTTTGATTTGGAGGCCTGTTGTTGAGCTGGAGCCTGAGGGACGGTCTAGATGTTCAAAGGCAGAAAACTTGACATATGAACTAAGGGGACTGTGTGGGGATAAGTATAGAATGGCTGCTTCGAGAAATTACTTACGGTATTATAGTTATACCGGGTTGTATTAACTATACAAAACGAGGAAAGAAGCAGGTCATGATTATGTCGTCACCAAGGCAGGAAGTATGCAAACAGGCAAGGTATATACTCAGACAGTGAACGAGGGGGTATCGAATAAGCTTGTCTCCCAGGAACATCATCATGAAACAAATCGTCACTTCACTTTGCAGGCATCCCCATCAGCTCTCCCAACTCATCGCTGGTGAGTGTACTCCGGCGTCGATCCCGGTGTCCTTTGCTGGATCCCTTGAGAGCCCGCCCACGCTTACGACTCTCGCTCTCTTTGCGAGCCTGTTCTGCCTCCCGGGCCTCGCTTTCGGCAGCTGCTAGCTTCTGGGGCACGCTCAGGCGAGCTTGGTTGTTTGATGCTTGGATAGCAGCTGCCCGGCGAGACTCTTTGGGCTGTGGAGTTTGAGCGCTGCTTCCCTGGCGGGTGAGCCCCTTCGATTCAGCCTTCCTTCTTGATGGTCTACGTGTTACCGCTTCAGAACGGTGTGCTTTTACTTGTAGCGTCTCATCGTCCGCGCTCGGTTCGCAAGGCGAGTCTTGTAGACCCGCAGTAAATGAGACCTTCCGTGGCGAGCGTCCAGTCATGATGTTGTCACTCTTTTCTTTCAAGGCTTTACTGGCTCTCCTGGATCTCGTTTCTCGCGTCGACTGGCGAGTTCTCCTGGGGGACTCTGAAGGCCGACTAGGCTCGGTGGTAACCTTCGCAGCGGTTTGTTTCTCTTCCTCCTCTTCTGCCTCTTGGTCTTCGAAGATGGGTGACTGGATGGTCGTGTCTCGCCCCACGTCTTGAGATAGTGCTTGCGTAATGTCTAAGCGTAGGTCTAAGCCTTGTCGGAGCTCTTCCGCTTGAATCGAATGGCCTCCATCCGCGATGCGTTTATGCCAGCCATCCATCATTGTAACGGCCTGGCTCCACCGACTTTCCATTTTCTCCCAGCCTTCGCGAAGTCGTTTAATTTCTTCGTCCCGCATTTCTACTTCCTCGAGAGGTACGAACGATGGGTTCGTGAGCAGTGTTCGTAGATGCTCGAGGACATGGTCCATTTGTGCTGATAGCTCGTCACAAGAGGTAGGTAGCGCCGTTACCGAGCCTTGCAGGGACCGTCCAGCCCCAACGCTTGCCATCCCGGTTGCGGACTTATCTTCGTCTTCGGCTTGTGATAGACCCTGGAGATCCTTCAGAGTTTCGACTGTGTTCCGTGCCAATGATATTAGCGTATCATTTTCGTCGCTGAGGTTTTGACATAGTTCAGTGAGGAAGTCGTTCGTTTCCTGCTTGAGGCTGTATCCAGGATCGTTAATGCCCTCACCACCGGCCGCCAGTCTAGATCGAGACGATTGACTTGCTGCTGGGTTGATATTGATAGTGGTCATCGACAGCCCTTCCCGCTTTCCGCGCTGGCGCTCAGCCAAGTGCGACTTCAGTTTCTGCATTTCCAGGTCGCGTTTGCGGATGTCGTTGGCGCATTGAGCTCGAACTTGCTGAATGGTCATCTTCATGCGCTGCACTTGCTCTTTCAGTCCTCGGATTGTCGAATCGGCACTAGAAGCGTTCGCCTTCAATGCTCGTTCCTGCGCCTCCGCGAGAGCCAGGGAGCGGCTTAGCTCGGAGGCCTTCGTCTTGACTTTCTCCTACAGCCAGATCGTTAGCCTTCTTTGCGGTCGCAAAATATACATTTGATGCCTCTCGTACCAACTCTGCTGTTTTTTGCGATTCCTCCGCGCGTAGGGTGCGAATTGTGGTTGCTAGATTCTCTCGGTGTTCGGCTTCACGCTGTTGTGGCTGTTAGCCAGTGTAACAACTTCCCTGGACATTGCGGCTCCGTACATCTCTGCGTAGAACCAAATCGTTGACCAAGTTGATGATCCTCCCCATTGTGGCCGCCGTGCCTCCCTCCTCATCTTCAGGGTTGGCGAAATCAATGGGATGGCCGCTCTTCAGCAGCCCCCTGGCCAGCAAGACATTATTAATGTAAGTAGATGCTGCCTGCAGATTCTGTGGCTCCATGGCTTGCCTGCAAGCTCTGGTGGCAGCGACCTCTCTGAAGGGAGAGGAGTTGCCGATTGATGTCGAGGGGTGTTGGTTGCGATAATGCGTCGGGGACCGCCAGACTGTTATTATTATTTTTCGACAGCCGCGGGATTCCTAAAGGGGAAGAACATAAACAGCAGGCGCACTCCGGTGACCGCCACGCCCCACTTCCGCTGTATGCTTATGTCATGCACCTGCCCACATCTGATCTGTAAAGGGAAGTAAATCACTTTTCTTATCGCACGCGTCGCTCGCGCGTCCTCTTGCCTCTTCTCAACTTCATCCTCCCAATTGGCATCATGGCGCGCGTAGTCCGTGGCGAGGGAGACTCTCTACAACGAAGAGGGCAGCTGCTCTTCAGACAGGGCAACTACTCAGACGCTCTGGCCGCGTTTACAGAGGTGCGTTCGCGCGGTTAACCGCGTCCGATAAGGAAAAGGCTACTAAGGCAATTGGCCCACAGGCTCTCTCTTGTAAAGGCGCCGATGTGATGAGCATCCTGGACAACCGGGCCGCAACGTACATCAAGCTCACTCAGTATGATCGCGCGCTCAATGATTCGCGGCAGATGATCCGCAGAGACACCAAAGATGGACGGGTAGCTTGCAGTCTGTGCGTTGGTCGATTATGTTCACTGTAGGCTAATTGAGCGTTAGGGCGTTTTGCGATATGGTCAGACATTGCTTCTGACTGGGGATCGTGCAAAGGCTCTCAAAGCTTATGGCTATGGCTTAAAGACTCTGCCTGAAGATCATCCCCGTCGTAAGGTAAGTGGGTTTGAGCTGAACTTGCAGCGAAATGCGATTTTGGAGGCTGACCGCCTCAGATGATACTTCAAATGTATTGCAAGGTGAAAGAAAAAGCATCAGTGAAACGACTAGATCCCTTTGATACTCTACCTCTCGAGTTGGCCATGATGGTGCTGCAGTATTTCAATTTTAGGGAGCTGGCGTGAGTGAGCCTGTACAAAGAGGTCCCATAAGCAAGCTGACGATCAGGCTCCTAGGGTTCTCCTGCGAGTTTCGAAGGGATGGCAGCGAATGCTCTCACAGCCAGAACTTTGGATGCATTTGGATTTCACTGAGGCTCGACGCAAGGTCCATTGGCGCTCCTTTCGGGCATTTGTCCAACGTTCTCGTGCCTTGCTAACTCATGCTGTCATGACCAACATATCCACCCCTTTTCAGGAAAGAGTGCTAGAAGCTTTAAGTAGATGTCCAAAATTAGAACACTTGGAGATCCGGGACCCTATCACACAGCCTAATGGGCTTTGCGACGTGTTCGGGAGCTCAACACAATTGAAATCTCTTATTATCGCGAAACAGACACCGGTGGCTCAGGAAAATATCGCGAAGTTTCTATCAAGCTTATCCCAGCTCGAACGGTTAGAGGTTCATAACGCCCAGCCGTCGCCCGAATCCAAAGTACATTGGCCTTCACATCTGCCGAATTTGAAGAGTATCACCTTGCTCACGGAAGCGTCAATTCCGCCACCAGGTCGTGTTCCTGCCCTATACATTCCTCCCGCTACTGTAAGTCGGCTGGTCTTCTGAGCTTTAGCTGGGTGCTTGCTGATTCTGGTACTGACAGCTATTTCAGGAGTCAATATCTTGCTCAATGCCCAACCTTGAAGAACTACGGCTTGACTCGTATCCCAAAGTCTGGGCGCCATACTATCTATCATTTGACCCTATCCAATACTCCAGGCTACGTAGACTGGATCTGAAAGGTGTATTCATAGGCACTTTCAGCTTACCGCCGAGTCTCGAATACCTTTCCATTCATGCAGGTGCCGCTCCACCTGGGGAGGAATTCCCCTTTTATCCCGAGCAACCCTTACACCTTCCAAATCTCCATACTCTTATGCTTCGCGACCTAATTTGGGTCACCTACCGCACACTCCATCGATTCATAGTCGACTCCAAGGCTGTATTACGGAACTTTGTGGTCGACCGCTGTCCACAACTAGACTCTGAGAAGCTCAGTCTTATTCTGGCCGAGAATTCGGTCAATTTGACTGAGCTCGGAGTTCCTCAGCTTCCAGGCATCAATGACTCTACCGTGAAGACCTTGGTAGAAGGTTTGTCAAACCTCACTGCTCTAGATGTCTCCAACACCGATGTCACAGGCCGTCTGCTCAAAATGCTTGCTGACGCACGTTCTTCGGATGTCGACTTCCCACGTGTTGAGTATGTATACATCAAAAACTGTGACAATATTCCATACGAGGCAATAACCTACGCTCGATCATATGGTGTCAATGTCATTCGGTGATTATATGCATCAGAACAAACGCCCCTGAAGCATGCTGGCATGCATAGGTATGCGTTTATTATTCGCATTGGGTGCCATATCGTATGTTGGGCTATAGTTCTACCATGTTTGCATACGTGGTATGGCTGTTCTGCCCGGCCCCCAAGTCCAATCTGGTTTAGAATACCCGCCAATATTTCACAAACGATAAGTCTTGCTGCATAACCTATGCGACATTGCTCCTCATCAAAATATACTTTGCTGGGGCGTTCCTGATAACGCGGGTCGATTCACAACATGACCAGGTCATGATACACGAGGGACATTTTCACAATTTTCCGTTGCTCCCCATTCTTCAGCATACTGCTGTGAGGGAGATGGCTGCAGGCACGCCACAAGTCTGCAGTAGAAACAGACAGTTCAATCTAAATATTACGTCTTTCCAGGGCTCTAATCAGTCCTGTCAGGTCTACATTTCGGGCAATATCATCAATTTTCCACTTAGGACTATTAGCACCCAGAACTGGAAGAGTTTCAGATAATGCACATTGTATCCTTGGATATTTATTTCTGAGTTCTACTATAGTAATAACACTATGAATACCCCTTCGCCTCAGGTAGACGAGTACACGGTCTTTGGATAGCGATCGCCGTTGGGGACGGACTTCAAGTCCGCTCCTCTTAGCCTCGACAACATCATATATAACGTCTGCCACCTCCACAATTAGCGGGCGACATTGTTTGAAATATTCTTCCATCTATTACTCATCTATACTACCTATAGTCTGTCACAAGAATCATCTTCAAGCCGTGCAATGACCACCATCTCCGCAATCCGGGCCTCCAACTCCCGAATCACATCAGAGACTGTACCTCGCACGGCAGTCTTCACCGGAGCTACAGATGGCATTGGAAAGGCGACACTTACTCGCCTAATTTTTACGAATCTGCCAGTTCGGGTGTATGTCATTGGCAGGAACGGCAAGAAGCATCAATCGTTTCTAGATGAGCTTCGACAATCCAACAGACAGGCACAGATCACCTGGTTGGAAGGTCAATTGTCTCTTCTAGCAGATACCAAAAAGCTGTGCGATGAGATTAGGAGACGCGAGACGAGTCTTGACTGCTTGTACCTGAGCGCTGGCTTTATCTCCTCGGGGGAGCGCATTGGTACGCCTCTTCTGATCACCATTGACCAGGAGTATCAGCTCACAAAACATGATTATCAGAAACATCCGAAGGAAAAAGCCTCTCACTAGCACTCACCTACTACAGCCGAATATTGCTGATGACTGAACTTCTCCCCTTACTCAATTCATCGCCCAATAGCCCACGCATCGTGAGTATCCTCAACGCTGGTTATGAATCATCTTCCATCTACCTCGACGACATCGATCTCGAGAAACCAGGTCACTTCGGTCTGGGCCCTCTCACAAAATCGATGTCCACCTACACTACATTGTCAATGTCGAAATTGGCTCAGGAAAACCCTCATGTGGTATTCATCCATCATTATCCTGGTGGTGTCAGTACAGATGCCTTTAAGAAGGCCTGGGGTGGAAAGTGGTATTGGCCACTGTTCAGAGCTGCGTTGTCTGCGTTTGGAACGTCTCCTGAAGATGCTGCGGAGAAGGTGTTGTATTTGATCACTAGTGCTAAATATGGTGGCAGGGGGGTTCCGCTTGGTGAGGGACAGAAGGCTGGTATGACTATGACGAAGTCCGCTCAGGGTGGTGATCTGTTCGCCATTGATGATAAGATGAAGGAGCTGTTCCAGGGGAAGATGATGTTGGAGTTGCAGGCCATGAATGCGGGTGACATTGTTTGGCGCAGGACGGTGGAGACACTTGCGCCGTATTCTTCGTGATGGCAAGGGGTGTGGGGGTAATATTGTATTGCCTAAATTACTTACTGCAATCGGTACTACATAAATTGAAATTTAATGATCGGCAAGTCATCTTTTCGAAGTATAGCACTGTATGGCACTCAGCTCAAAAGCCAAACGGACTTCGGCCAGTTAAAGTCCGGCTTACCAGAACGAAGTCCGGTTCAGCCGACGGCCAAAGACCGTTTCCGTCTCAACCACTGCACACTTACACACATGATTTCTAATTCAATTATTTCATTGCTATTATGGAGACGAGAGGTCCAACTCCAGGCTCTGGCTCATATGGCAAGGCTTGCAGGCAATGTTCCAAGGCCAAGTGTCGGTGCGTAGCTCGACCCGACGGTGCCGGCTGCGAAAGGTAAGCGTCTCAGTATAAGCATTGACTTAATTGATCTGATCGCCACCCAGATGTCTGCGTCTCAAGAAACAATGTCAACCATCAGAGCCAACTCGTAGGAAACCTCATCGGAAGACCGAGTCTGGCGCGCAGATCGCGAAGCTTGAGGGGAGGATTGATAGCCTCACAACAATGCTTCAGTCTGTGGCGCATGCTACTGGAGTATCTAGCAACCTACAGACTAGTTCAAATGCTAGTACAAGCGACGATATCAGCAACTTAGCTACCACTGGCACTAATACAGACAGAGTACTGGTGCCACCGTCATTGACTACCGCGCCGTCCCTGTCAACTACCACTCCGTCTTCTAGCAATCACTCGAGCCAGCCATCTGTATCTCTGCCTCCTCTATACGAGTTGAACCTAGACCAGGCAGCCTGGTATTTCAATCGCTTTGCGACGAACATGCTACCGTGCTTCCCTTTCATCCGCCTGCCACCTAGTACCAGTACTCATCAGTTGCATGAAACCCAACCATTTCTCCTCGAGGCCATCATCGCGGTAGCCACGCCCTCAACCCAAGAGAAGCTGGCTCGCGCAGATAGATTAAAATCTCGCTTAACAAAGTCAGCTATGCTAGAGAACCAGTCTAGCATTGACATGTTGCTAAGCATCCTGACCTACATTGCCTGGAGTACGGATCCGTTTGTTAAGCGCGCAAGTAACCTGTCTCGCATGATAATGTTGGCTATGTCTATGGTCTATGATCTCCAACTGGACAAGAAACCACCACCGCCGCCAGAGGTGCCCATAATAGCGAAGATGGCACCGGGCTTGGGAGGTCCAGAGCAAAGTGCAAGTGATCATTCTCTACAAGAGATCCTAGAGCAGCATCGAGCTGTCCTAGCTTGCTTTGTCCTCAGCTCAATGCAAGTATAGCCTCTTTTTTTACCTGCAACTCGAGAATGCCCATCCTGACATGACTATTCCAGCATCTCATCCACCTTTAGACGCACAGCCACCCTACCATGGACCTCTCAAATGGAACAAGCCCTAAATCTAATCGAGACAAAGAAAGAACACCCATCCGACGAGTACTTCACAATTCAAATCCGGCTACAGATCCTCGCCCAAAAAGCCCTATGCCTGCGTGACCCAGACGAGACAAATTCCTCTACCACCTCAACCACAACACCCCCAGCAACAACCATGTACCTCAAAGTATTACACAACCAACTCACCGACCTACAATCCTCAATCCCACCACAACTCCCCAACCAACGCGGTAAACCACGAACTCATCCCCTCTCCCTCCCTTCCTCCCAAATCCCTACTAACCACCAATCCTCTCCCATTACAGCCCTCCTCCACCTCCAAACACATTACACCTCCCTCCTCCTACACGAAACCCCCCGTCTCACCAGCTCCAGCACCCCTCTTCTTTCCCCAGCAACCACCACCACAACCACCAACCCAATCCCCCATCCCCTAACCACCCTCATCCACTCCCTTCAAGCAATCAAATCCTGGCTCTCAACCTTCCAGACCCTCCCGGCACAAACCATCACCGGATTTCCCTTCTTCATGTGGTTCCAACTCGTCCGATGCATCGTGCTCCTGAAACATCTCTCCACGTTCGAAGACCCAGCATGGGACCGCGACGCCGTGCGACAGGAAGTGGATATGCTGGAGTTGCTGGAGTGGATGGGGGAGAAGGCGGAGATGGCTAGTGTTGAGGCTGGGGAGACCTCGGAGGATGATTTGTTTCGAAGGGTGGGGAGGATGTTGAGATTGGCGAGGGGGTGGGTGGTTAGGAAGGTGAGGGGGGAGGTAGATGGATGGGTCCCTGGTGATGGGAGTAGTAATGGGGATATGGTGGGGTCTGGAGTTGGAGATGGGTCTGGGGGAAGTGGTGAGGGTAGTAGTAGTGGTAGTGGTGGTGATAGTAGTAGTGGTATGATGGGTATGAAGCTGGATATGACGGATATGGCGTGGATGCATGCTCTGGAATCGGGGGATGGAGGTTGGCTTGAGGAGGCGCTGGGGTGGTCGCCTTTGAATTTCTAGATCCGTGTCTGCTATATATATTGAGATAGTGATGATGGTAGTCCTTGCACTCATCCTGATACGCTAACGACCTGTTGATTGCTCATCATCTACTCTGGCTCTATCATCTATAATTGACTATACATCCCACCACCCCTCCAAATAAGACTTCAGATCAATAGTATCATGGCGTTTCAGATGCGGCGTCAGGTCCGCATCTGGAAGCGTCTCTCTCGTCGTCCATCCATTTCCCAGAAAAGCGAATCTATTCCCACTCGGATTGGTATACGAATAGTCCCAATCTTCCCATCTGGGATCTCGTCTCAAGTAGTTCAAAGCTGCCGCACTACCAGGGAACTGACCATGGACTTTGCCACCAGGCCGACCGCCATTATACCATGAGCTACAGTTTTTCTGACCAGGGGTGGAGTCATCATTAGCTGTCCAGACCGTGCGCGGGTAGAACTTGTCGCAGTATTCGACAAAGTCATCGGCTGCTTGCTTGGATGGCTCCATGGCTTTGATACCTTGACTGCGGATCTTTCGCAGGAGCTTGGCTATGTAGGTGACTTGATTCTCCAGAGCATTGGGCACGCTGCCTGAGGGACCGGTGGAGTGGGGACCGCCAAGCCAAAGTAGATTGGGGAAGCCTGGGGTAGCTACTCCGAGGTAGTTGTAGGGGAAGCCGTAGAGACCGTCGTGTTTCCAGGCCTTTTTGAGATCGATCCCGTTGGAGACGATGGAGAAGGGTGGGGCGTGGTCGACGTTGGCCCCGGTAGAGCAGATAACAATGTCGACGGGCCTTTCGATGCCATCTGTTGTGACGATACCTGTTGAGGTGAATCGCTGAATTGGGGTTTGAATGTAGCTGACGTTGTCTTTGGTCAAGGCTTCGAGGTAGCCTGGGCCGGGAGTGGGACGGCGACAGTTGGGTGGAAAATCTGGGATAAGCTTGTCAATGAATTCGGGCTGGTCGCCGACTCTTGACTTCATCAGCTCAGTCCATTTCTCGCGCAGACCGCGGTTCTCCGGGGAGTCCTTAAAGATGGCGCCAAAGCGAGAGAAGTATCCTGCTTCGACGCTCTTGCGGTATGCTAGATAAGTATCGGGGTCGCGAAAGGACTCAAGTTGCTCGGGAGAGAATAAGTTTGCTTCGAGTCGACGCACACCAGATGTGCCGAAGGAGTCAGCTATCCAGGTCCTGTTGCGAGCATAATGGTCCACGTGTTGAGCAATTGGCTGGATCGAGGGCAGGACCTGCAATCCAGACGCTCCATTGCCAATCAACGCGATGCGCTTGCCGTTCAGGTCGACATTGTGATTCCAATGCGACGAATGGAAAAGCACACCTGTGTACTCATCCCTGCCTGGGTAGTCGGGCAGCTTCCACTCATTGAAGTGGCCAATAGCGTTGATTAGCACGTCGAGGTCTTCGTCATATGTCTTATATTGGTTAGCCACTGCGCATAAGCCGCTAAGTAGGAGCAGTGTCATACTCGATTGGAATTCCCCAAGTCTTGCAAGGTCACCCGCCATTTACCCAGTTCAGGAAGCCACACAGCCTGGTCGACTTTCTGTTGTAGTCGGAGATATTTGTGCACATCATATTTGCGCGCTAGAGATTCCCAATACTCGCGAATTTCGGCGCCTTGTGCGAACTCCTCAGACCATTGTGTGTTCGGTTCGAATCCGGACTGGTAGACATGCGCGGGAATATCGCATCGTACTCCAGGATAAGTATTTTCGAACCTGTTCATCAGCACCAGCCGTCGCAAGCAATAAGTAAGCTTTCTTACCAAGTACCTCCCTGTGTTCAGTGTTAGAAATGCATGGTATGTGACTCGAACCGTTACTTACCACACCGGAGTTTTTCTCATAGATCCGTAGGTCCAGACCAGGCAGTTTTGCTGGGAGCAAGACTCCTGCTGTAATTCCTGCCAGACCAGCTCCAATCACACCGACTTTGATCGGACGAATCTCGTCAATTGGGTGTTCCTCGATTTCAAAAGCTGGACGAGCTTGGCTGTCTGCCTTCTCAGACAAGGCTAACTCATTGATGAGCGACCCAAGAGACACAGTGGGGAGGTGCTTGGGATCTGTCTCTGTGAGAGGCTCGTGACGTATGAGCTCGGGTCCTTCGACTGATGCCATGGCGAAGAAAACTTGTCTGTTCTATGGGCACATATGAGGGTAGCAAATTGGCGAGGTGCAAGGATGTCTTTTATCTTAAGATGGCTGCCGATAGAGAGGGGTTGCGAGATCGGCAAAGCACATCACGCCTGATAAAGTGTAACCCCTCTTCGGAACAGCTGCACGCCATCTGCGCCTCCTTTGACCTCACAGAGTAGCCCGGAGAAGCCAGTAGCAAGAGTTGAAAAGGTACCAGGATCACACCATTGTGGACTGGAATGATGCGACAAGAGGGGCTTATCTCTGGTCTAGCAGCACCAGTAACTTGGCATAAATGCACCATACCCCAAGGTTAATTCACTGGCAGAAGTAGTAGTGATACATTGAGTATGTATCGAAGCTGCAGGCGGTTGGTGGTTGCATTGGGCAGATGCAGTTGAGTTGCAGGATATTACCGAAAAGGGAAAGATGGACAGGGATCTTAGGCCTCAGGCAGTAACCGAGTGTAGCCGCTCATCGGGACTCATCCTACTCTAGCCGATTCCCAGAATATCATAGCAGTCAATCCATGTGTCATTGGCAATTGTACTAGCAATAGCACTATACCGAATCTTAGCGACGCGGTGCGAGACTTCATTAGGCGCGGTATCACGTGAAGTAGCAGTCACCACTTGAATCGCTTCGGGATGTCATGTGACACAACACCATGGACTGGTGGTTGACATCACGTGGGACCATGATACAGCTCAATACAATCCAGCAAATAGGCGCAAATTTAAAGTTTCTTAGGTTTATACTTGTTAAATGGTATTATCCGACTGGTAATCTATTTTCTCACAGCCAGCGCACACTAGAATGCTGTAAGTGGTTGATTTGGCAGGCAAGCGGGCCTTGATTGACAGGCATCCCCAGCCTTGCCTGGATGCCTCGATGCCTGTAAAACTCGGCATTCACAGCCGACCTCGTGTTCTCCTCGCTTCTCTTTGTCCAACTTCGTCTTGACAACGCCGGGCGCTCTTCAGCTATTGTTCTTCGGGATAATCTTAACCCAAATCATTCTGTTGCTTTTGCTGTTATGATTCCCTTCTTGTGTGGCTGAACACATTCCTCCTGACAACCAACTCTCTCATTCCGAACTGCTGCGCGCCCGGCATCCTAAGGCTATCACTCTTTAAGCAGATATGGCTCCCGTTGGTCTCCTGACTAAACTCAGGACTCTGATCGCAAAGGACTATGGTAAATTCATAAACTATATGTTTTTTATATCATTGTCTGACTTATCCCGCAGATGCGCCTGCCATTTCAACACAGACCGCGGCCTTTCTCTCGGTATGCACTTCTGATCATTGGCTCCTACCAACTATTATTGCTCTTTTGGCCAGTATCTGATTTACGTCCTAGGTTTGCCTTACCCTGGTCTATGTGGTTCCTTTCTATGTGAACCCCACGACCCGGCCATCGCCCACCCTGAGTAGAGATGCGCCGTCGGTAATCCGGGCCAGAATTAGAGCAGTGACATTCTCATGCACCATCAGTAGCCTGGTCGTCTTATGGCTACTCGCTGCCAAAGAAAATGCCTCTTTCTCACGAGCTCTCCACTTCTTGGGATGGTGGCCTGTCGGTCTCGTGGACATTTTCCGCAGCTTGCTCCTCACAGCCATCCTATTCGCCGGTCCACTGTTTGAGCGTGGTATTGCTGAAGGCGAATGGAGAGAGTGGATTCAGGGAGGCAGAGTTACTGCATCGCTTCGCAGCTGGATTGGATGGAGAAACTATGTAGCGGTAAGTTCATTCTATCACGGCAATGCCTGGCTTTTTGACTAATTGAACGATGCAGGGTCCCATCACCGAGGAGGTCATGTTCCGCTCAGCCATCGTTCCCCTTCATCTCCTTGCCAAGGTTGATCCTGGCCGCATCGTATTTGTGGCTCCTCTCTATTTCGGCATTGCTCACGTACACCATTTCTATGAATTTCGCCTCACTCATCCTGACACATCGGTCGTCGCTGCTTTATTGAGATCAGTCTTTCAATTCGGCTACACGACGATTTTCGGCTGGTATGCCACCTTTGTCTACCTTCGTACTGGGTCTCTTCTGGCAGTTATCCTCGCCCACACTTTCTGCAACTGGTGCGGATTGCCTCGATTGTGGGGAAGAGTAGAGGCGGGCGTACCCATGGGACCGCCCATGGTCAAAGGAAAAGGATCTTCTGACGCGGCATATGGCCAACTCAGTCTAGGCTGGACCATTGCATACTACGTGATCTTGGTCGCGGGGGCTATTGGCTTCTTCCAGGCGCTATGGCCTTTGACAGATTCGCTGAACGCATTAGCCAGCTTTTCTGTTACGGCCAAATGATTATAATGAAGAGAAACAGCATATAGCGGACGGATGATCTGAAGGGTCGCAGCATCGACTTCTTGTCTGTCTTGGGCCAAATGGCCAGCTTTTCGGTTCATGGATTTGTCTGCCATCATAGCGACAAGCATTGTTGTGAGTAGCTTGACCGCATGCAGCATTGTTATGACCATAGTATTCTTAATGTCCAACATCTCAATTTGATCGAAATGAATTCTTATATATGCATCAAGGCAATTTGGACAATTGTTGATCAAAGAAACATAATACATGAAAGTGATGTGTACTACTGTGTTTCATAAGCGAAACTGAGTTCAATATAATACAGTGCTAGGTACTAGTAGTACTCCAACTAGCTGACTGATTATAAGTGTGGATCATGATGCCATAATATGGATCATAAGTTACAGACAATGTTGATTGCAATCATGATGATGTCCTAGTGTGACTACGGTCATTCTCATCATCTTTATATATTTTGGCCGGCGGATGAGTGCCATTACTTTTAGTATCATCCACAGCGCACCATCGATACTATGTCTTGAGCAACCGATTCGTGATCTGCACACTTGCAACGCGCAGGCAGTCTTAGTAATTAAATCCGAACAAGATCAAGAGACAATGTAAAGCAATGTATTCCCCCGACCAGTTACCATTCTCGGATTATGAAGGCGGGACTCGGGAATCTCCGCTATCTCCGACCGCGCCGAATCCTCCGCAGCTTCGGGGTTGCTCTTTTCAGTTTCCACCACCCACTCTTACTTCTTACTGCCATTCCTAACCAAAAACTCTCCTCTTTGCCTTCTTATATACCTCTCCAAAACCTTCATTCCCTCGGTACATAGAATATGGCCGGACGACAAAGAATAATACGGGCAGCATCGCTGCAAAGCCTGGCGCCAATTTCCCGACCCAACCGCTCCGCGGCAACATCAGCTCGCCTCTTCTCATCCACATCCCTCAGCTCAAACCCTGCGCGCATACCCCTGGACATCCCTCCCCCATTTCCCGTCACCAAAACATGTCCCGAACCAAGCTGCTCCTGCCCGGTGACGCCGTCCATGCCCGCCCCCATTGACTACGACCAGCCGCTGAACGGAACGATGGCGGCCTATGCACAGCAGCTGCTCATCTGCACCGGACAACGAGACTGGACGAGTCGCATAGAAGAGGACGGTCAGGGCCAGAGCTGGGGTGAGATGGTCCGAGGATTGAAGCGCCTGCTCGGGCGTGGGGGGAAATATGCCGACGTAAGTCATACTTCATCATCATGTGGTCGCAATATCCCACTGACAATTGCTACGATAGCCCTTCAACAATATCCTAGTCACCAGCTCCTCCTTCCTCCCCTCGTCACAATCATCATCAGAAACCAGTGCAGCAACCCCCCAGACCGCATCCGCCTTCCTCTTCCCTAGCTTCAAATACTTCCCGTCCGTCCCTGTCAATGTCCCCGAGTCCGCATCCGCCCCCGCAACAACCGACCTCTCGACCTTCGTCCGCGCATTCCTACTCCCCAGCGAATCAAGGCATGGCGGGCAGATCCGCGACCAATCCCTGGCAGCTGAGTTTCCAGATGCTGTTGATCTGCAACATTCCCCCGTTGTGTTGATCTGCGGGCACGGTGGTCGCGATATGCGATGTGGTGTCATGGCGCCGGTTCTGGAGACTGAATTTCAACGGGTGTTGCAATCTAAGGGATACACGTCTGCGGGAAGTGATAACAGTGTTGTTGATAGCCCCGAGCATGCACATATCGGGTTGATCAGCCATGTTGGAGGACACAAGTATGCTGGAAACGTGATTGTATATATCCCTCCCGGAATGAAGGGAGCTGGCTCTTCCTCGCCGCATCCGTTGGCGGGTAAGGGTATTTGGTATGGGCGTATTGAGCCCAAGCATGTGCAAGGAGTGGTGGAGGAGACGATTTTGGGTGGGAAGGTCATTACGGATCATTTCCGGGGGGCGGTTGATCGGGAGAGTGGGGTGTTGAGGTTGTAGACTTGAAGGTTTGGTTTGGTGGTAGAATATATTGTATAGTAGAGAATAGATCTTGTGTTTATGATAATGCTAAATCGGAAGTGAAGCGTATAAAAATAGAGCTGAAGACTAGAGTCAGGTTAATGGAGCGCGTGGGTGATGATACTGACTGAGTGAGGTCTGCTGTACAATTCCATAAGACAACACATCAGCTGAATATTGAGATAGTGAACGGAAGTCTGTCAGACTGACGGCTATATGTCCATTCATATTCTCTCTGATATTGCTTACGTACCAGAAACCCCAACCCCAGGATCATCTCCGCATCGGCTTCCCGGCTCCGGGGAAAGCAAACATCGGGATGCCGTTCTGAAACAGCATGCATAACACACCAACATAGTACAACAACAACAGCCAGCTAAAGCCATCAACACAGCTCAATTGCGAACAAAAATACAAGCTATACATACATACAGGACCACAAATCTTTTATTTTTCCCCACCCAATCCAACTCCCTACTCAACTCCACACAATCACTCAATCTTCCCCTTATTAACCACAAATCCCTCCAACGCCGAAATAGCCGCCCACAACCTATTCTCCGCCTCAGGGAAAACCAACGACCGATGTCCATAAAACACCTCATCAGCCACCTCCTCAGGATGCCTAGGAAGACAATGCATGAACCTCCAACCCTCATTGGCCCCACCCCTCTTGGCCAAGTCACTCGTAATCTGAAATCCAGCGAAATCCCTCAACCTCTTCGCAGCCTCCTCCTCCTGTCCCATCGACACCCAAGTATCAGTAACCAACACATCCGCCCCCTTAACCGCCTCCTCGGGAACATTCGTCTGCACCAACTTTCCGGGGGACTTGACACCCTCGCCCGCCTTCTCAATAATCTCCAACATCTCCTTAGGGATCTCATACCCCCTGGGTGTAGCAACATTAACATCGACGCCCATTTTCCTGGCACTAATCGCCATATCGAACAGCACGTTATTGGCATCGCCCACCCAAGCAATCTTCAACCCATCCAATCCCAACCCTTCCAACTTCCCACCCTTGGTCTTCCCAGAACCACCAAAATGCTCACTGATCGTCTGGAAATCCGCAATGGCCTGCAATGGATGGTACGAGTCACAGAGAGCATTGATGACGGGCTTGGTGGAGTGCTTAGCGAGGTCCGCGACGTCAGCGTGCTTGCCTACGCGAGCAACGATGCATTCGACCATGGAGGAGACGACCACGGCAGTGTCGTAGAGGGATTCGTTGACTCCGAGTTGGATGTCGTCCTTGCCGAGGAACATGGGGTGACCGCCCATTTGGACGACGGCGCCTTCGGTGGAAATGCGCGTGCGGGTGCTGCGCTTGCTGAACATCATGGCGACGGTCTTGCCGGAGAGGGCGCCGTGGAGGGATTGAGGGATGGAGCCGGATTTGATGGCACGCTTGTGGGAGGAGGCATTGCGGACGAGGGTTGTGAATTCGGTCGGGGTTAGGTCCGCGATTGAGAGCAGGTGGCGCGGTGCGAAGGGCGAGGTTGCCGGCGTTGCGGCGGAGTGGCTGCTCGAGGAGTAGAGCCGGCGCAGGGCATGGCGGGTTGTGGAGGGCCCGTAGCGGGCGGCTGTGGCCGCTGTGCGGAGGGGGGAGGGCATTGTGGGTTTGGTGGGAGGGATTGGGAGGAATTCAGGAGGTGGTGAAGAAGAAGAGAGATGGGAAATGGAGGTGAGTCAATATAGGTAGGACATGACTGGGGATGCTGTCACGTGAGAGGTGTTGAGGGAGTGGGCCGATTACGGAGGACTATGACTCAATAGTTTGATTTGGTTGGCGGATGAGGAAAAATAAGTACTAGACTAGTAGATCATTCTGTGCTCCGTAAGGATTTTGCTAGGAAGCTGTAGAGGATGTAATGATGGTATTGGCTAACTATGATTATGCGCTATGTATGTATGCACAGGGTATTTGATTAGTATCTCTCCACCAGCCACTTCCGTCGCGCTTCTGCCTCTATTGCATTCAGCTTCTTGCTCTCGGCTCGTTTGACGGTGATATAGTTCTCAACCAGAGTGTTGCCAAGCACATCCCGGAGAGCCTTGTCGGATGCCATATTGTCCAGACTCTGTGTCAGGGTCGTGGGGATTTGGGTGGTGATTCCAAGGGCACTGCGATCCGCCTCGCTGAGTGTTGCTGCGTCATCTACACCAATTTGTTAGCATGTGTGTACGCTAGAGGACAGCCTCACTGGCAGGAATACTTACATAAACAGTCCTGCAGGGTCAGGGGCAGCTTCTCCTGCACACCCAGAGATCCTGCAGCCAGAATTGCAGCCATCGCCAGATACATATTGGACAGACCATCAAGCGCCTTGATCTCCCAGTGACCCGCAGAGATCTTCCGGATGGGTGTCTCGCGGTTCTGAGTGCCCCAGGCGACCCACTCGCTTCCAGCCCAGAGGCCGGAGTGCATCCGGTCGTAGCTGACATCATTAGACAGTGTGAAGGCCGTCAAAGAAGTGAAATGCTTGAGCACACCAGCCAAGAAGCTCTCCTCCTGAGTCGCTGGAGTCACGGAGACATGCGCATGGGCGGCTGAGCCAGCAGCGTGCGAGTAGGGTCGAGGGTGAAGGGTTGCGCGGTAACCGTGTTGTTCAGCGACATAAGTCACGACCTGTCGTGCCTTGAGCAGGGTATCGACAGCAGCGACGGGTGATCCGGGTGGTAAAATGAATTCAAACTGGCCCGGGGCCGACTCGGCGTGGAATTGTTCGAGGTCAATGCCGATGGATGCAAGAGTATCGACAATCTCCTCGAGCAGCGGCACCATACGACGGGTGTCTCGGGTCATCTGAGACCAGGAGTGGTTGCGCACGCATGGAACAAACTCTTCCTCATCGGTATCCGGGTTAGTGACGCACTTCAGCAGAATAACCTCAATCTCGAACCCGCAAAGAACATCGATTCCATGCTTGGCACGCAAATCAGTCGTCACGCGGCGCAAAAGGGTCCGTGGGCATCCTTCCACCTCCAAACCCTCCTCAGAACGCCCCCAAGTCATAACAGTGGCGCTCTTTGAGTCGATCCCCACATTTCTAGAGAGAGTTGAGAGATCTGGTTCGAGATAGAACTGGCCGGTTGTGGAACCTTCCGGACAGACTGTATCGGACTGGAGCATCAAGAATGTCGCTGTACAGATACCGATCCGACGTTGCTTGCGAACAATCTTAGCAAATTCCCGAATAGGGAACATCCGCACCCGAA